TTGGATGGTCAGTCTTATTTTTAATTGAGCTTTTTGCGAAGAGGCAGAAGTGCGCTTTAGCATTTTATATCTATAGTTCCATTTGGTCTTTCACCTGGCCATTTGGAAAAATCGTGTAATCCATCTATTTGAAAACAGACATCACTGGTTGGTCGAAATTGTGCGTAAGCTGTCCTGAGACAACAGTGTAATAAAATACATAATAACAAGAATAAGCTGTGTTAGTGTTAATCCCTTAATCGACAAGCTTATCAAATTATTCCACGATTATCGAAGCCGGCTGATCTGCGTTTCATCTAGAGTAACACTGTTGCTGAAATTCAAAGTAGAGCAGAACAATACTAGGACCGTGGATAAGTACTTCGGGCGTAATTTAATCAATCACGTAATGAAATAGCACTGTTGATAGAAGGCGTCCCAACCAACCGTTATACTGAGTCAAGCTTCTCGGTTCACTCCGTAGACCCAATTTATTGCATATGTGACGAAAGGCATTGCTTCAAAAGTTTTTAAAACTCTAATGAGCATTTGGTCAGCTTGTAATAAACTCCAAAGCCACTCTGTGTACTGAGGCGAATGCAGAGCAAAATCAGATGAAATATGCTTTCTTGCTTATCAAGTTTTGTCGTCATGCTCTATGACCCTACGGAACATGAAAAAACGGCCCAGACAAAAGCCATCCTCAATCTATTCGCCGACGGCTATCTTGGTTATGGGGTCTACCCACTGGCTGTTTACCTAAGGGAGTTGTCTAAAAACCCTGATTCCAAACTAATCAGGAAGAGGTGTATGAACCACACCTACCTGGTCGTGGTAGTGGTCATCGCGGTGTATTGGGCACCTTGAAAGTTTGACCCCGTCCAAAGGACGTATGAGCCGTTGAACAGGACAGCTCGTTAGATGTTTAATCGTTTCGAAATTCCCCCGATTTACAAACCTTCATAGAACCATTAGGCATGCGTTTTAACTGTCCCACTTTAGTTAAATATCTCAAAATACGAGTTCTACCATTGTCTCAGTCATCTCTCCGTTTTTCACTGCTAGGTTAATTAGCTGATTTTTTCATCCGTTGTTTTGCATTTAATTCTTGCAGTTTATGGGTTCCATTTATACAATGTTCACAGTTTATTCTCCGAACTGTTCTGAATTCATCCTATGGTGTCAACAAATCACACTTCCTCATCATGTTGTTTTTAACAACTCCTATCCTTTATCTTTTGATAATATTAGCAGCACCCTGGGTCTTCATTCATCCCGTGTTCATGTCTAGCTTCTGATGGACTTAGGCGATATGCGTGCATGTCTTTCATCTACTGCTGGGCTGTTCATTCATGTATAAAGCATCTGCAGATGTTTTCCGTGGATAGGTTCCGTATTTCTTTTAATTACGAAAACCTCATGAATGTATAGCAAGGTTCGAATACATCTAAGTGCATACCCTATCGGGGGCAAATAAATCAACATTTCCCTTAGCAGACAGGACACCATTTTCTGCGGGGTGACCGTCGAATTGGAGCCTCGCTTTCACGACGAGACTGCACCTTGACGTGCTATGATGGCTTGTGCACCTCTGTGACCCAACGTGCTAGACAGGATGGCTTTTGTCGAGCCGAAGTTCTAATCATGCCTGGAAGATCAATGGGTAGAGGTCAGACGAAGTCCAGTCTCCGGGTCCTCCAGGTTGGGGGTCCGACTTGAGTCGGCGTCTCAGTCGATAAAACATGTTGGAGGAATAATTGATCCAAGCTAATGGGCCTCCAATCCGCCTTAACCGCTGCCTTGTGGTTAGGTTTTTGTCAAAACTAAAGGCTTTGGTTGAGAACCCTAATTGGTCTCCTGCTTAGTAGCTGGACACCCTGGCAGTACCCGTCCAAAAGCTCTAATGAGCACACAAACTAAAAATAATTTCATACTCTATCGGTCGTCACGCAGGATAATCAGGACCGCGCTGCCCATAACATCGAGCGGGGTGGGTAGTGATAAGTGGGCTACTGCTCAGATATCTCAACCTTTGTTTAACTCTTTGTCTTCCGTACCCAACCCTATCCCTTTACCCCTTCTTCCGACCCGTGATATTCNAGACAACTTGGTCGTCACTCGTGAAAGGTCATTGCCAAGTAGCACTGTAATTAGTTTTCCTGTGAATAAAGTGCAGATTCTGAAGCCTCGTCAACCTCTCAATGTGGGGGCTTTCAACGTGAGGACTTTTATGCAGGTGGGTCAACAGGCGTGTCTTGCGCGTACAATGTAGTCTCTAGAAATCGAGGTCTGTTGCGTATCGGAGATACGAATTCAGTATCCTAGTATTATAAGCCACCTGAGTGCGCCGCGTCTGTCCTCAAAGTATTACCTTCGCACATCAGGAGACGGCGCAGCCGCTCACTGGGTCAGCGTGGTGTGGGTATCGTACTAAACGATAAAGCTGAAGCCTCTATGATAGATTGGATACCCGTCA